AGTCCCTCTGACAGGACACATCTGGGTGCTGTTCCTGCCTGCTTAGTCCCTCTGACAGGACACATCTGGGTGCTGTTCCTGCCTGCCCAGTCCCCTTCCAGAGCAGTGGCCCGCATCAGACAGAGGTTAGAAGCTCAGAGCTGGAAAGCAAGTGCTTGGCGGATACAGCAGCCAGGACTGTGACGGGAGCAGCCAGAGGAACCGCACTGCCTGCAGGAGGTGCGGAGACAGAGACGCGGGTGCAGCTGATGTCGGCAGCTGCAGGCGGCAGGTCTCCATGGTGGCCGTGGCCTCTCTGGTCTCCATAGTTGCCATGGTCTCCAGTGAGCTCGCAGGGCCGCAGGCTGAACTGCAGAGACCCTGCCTGCCCCAGCCTGCTGTTCTGGGCCAGGCCTGCGCTCAGGGCTCCCAGGCTCGGTGGGGCAGCAGCCTCAGGAACGGGACAGAGGGGTTCTGGGGCCCTGTCCTCACTGGATCCGCTGCTCTTGGTCCCAGTGACCACGGCTCCAGCCCCCTGGGCTCCAACCCAGCCGCATCCAGTGCAGCTTTCTGGAATCCTTGTCTGCAGCGCGCACTGGGCTCTGCCAAGGATGCTGGGAGGAAGCTCAGCCACGAGTCCCTGGCACAGCGGGCGCAGCACAGGATGGCTCTGGAATGGCGAGCGCTCTGCTCCTGGTGCTGGGCCATGGGGTTTCGTGCAAAGAAGCACCCCGAACAGGCGGAGAGAAGGTGGGGTGAAAGGAGGGTGAGGAAGATGGCTGGAGGAGGTAGACGCGGCTGCACTGTCCTCTGTCCTGCAGGGGCCAGCTGTCTTCCTCGTTTGTGACACCCAGGACAAAGGCAGCACTGGTGTTGCCAGAGGGTTCCAGGGCAACTCTGTATCTGCGTTGGACCCCAACACCTGGGAGGCAGCAACCTGCATGGGGCTGGTGCCCATGGCAGGGCTGTCTCCTGGCCGAGGACAAAGGCTGGGTCTAGGTGAGCACACAGCCTCAGCCAGGCTCGGGTTCTGGATGCCACAGTGGCAGCTGAGGCTCCTGGGGATTGGGCCTGTGTGCTGCAGAACCAGCCGGGGCTGGCCGCAATACAGCGGGTGGCAGGAGTGGCCCCGTGATCTCAGACACCAGCGGCCCTGGCTCGAGAGTCATTTGTGTCTATTTATATACTCCTGTATTCACTCGCTTGAGTCAGGGTCTCACCGTGAAGCCCAGGTGACCCTCTTGCCTCAGCCTCCTGAGTGCTGGAGTACAGCTGTGCACTCCCACGCCCAGCTGAGAGACGCTGTTGCTAGCCGATGCCTGCTTCGCTAAGAAGGCTCAAAGGCTTGCGGCCTCCCTGCCGAGGGGTGGGCGCAGAGTCCTCGAGACCCTGCCCAGCTGCCTTAAGGACACACAGATGCCTCCGCAAGACCCGGCCGGAGGGCGTGCCTGCTGCCACCCGCGCTGTTGTCTTCTGTCTGACAGGTGCCCTGCTCACTCAGGCCTCTGCGTGCTGAACCGGTCCTGCTTGCTACTGAGCCTCTGGTCCGTGCCACGGTCCAGGGAGACAGGATTCCCAAGAATACCTACATGCTGTTTTATTGAAAAACACAGCTTGGAGCATCGTTCAAGGGGCATCCGGGCTGCAGGTTCCAGCAGCAGAGGAAGAATCCGGGTGCGCGTCCTGAGCCTGAGGAAAGCTTCATTCTGCTCTTGTTTCTTCTGCTTCCTCTTCTTCCTCTTCCTCTTCTTCTACTAAAATGTATTTAGTACAGCGTCTCACCGCACCCCGGTAGCTGTGCCTGCTTAGTTCACTGAGCTCTCTGGCTGGCCCTCTCCTCCTCCTTTTAAACCTGAGACAGAGGCCTCTCTGCTGCCTGGGCAGGCCTCAGACTTGTGGGCTCAAGAGATTCTCCCGCCCTGCCTCCTGAGCAGTGGACACCACGGAGGCCTGGCCAGAGAAAAGTGGAGTATCACTTTACCCAGCAGGCAGATAAGATCCTTCTGCCCACAGATGCCAATGCGGTGCCGCGAGGTACCCAGAGCCACCACACACCAGGATTCTGCGGCTCGAGGCCAGCAGACAGGGGTAGTGGGGGCAGGAAGCCCAGCCCTTGGAGCACCATGGTGCCGTGGTGTCCAGGCTCAAGACGGTGCTGCTCAGGGACCAGGACCATAAGCCCAGGGATAACAGTCTCTACCTAGCCCCAAGGGGAAACAACAACCTGTGGCAGCTGATCTGTCACCCTCAAGTGGAGAGGTCCCTTCACACCACACTGAACAAGTGGGCAGAAGGGCAGCCAGGCTCACGGTCACTAGCTAAGGGGTGCAGGGGGCCAGTCCTGGGGGCTGCGGGGCAGGGGAGCCATGGGAGCGCCCCTCACACCTGCCCATCCAACCTGTGTGACACCCGCTACCCATCCAGAACAAGGCTTGCATTTCAGCACGCTGTGGAAGAGCGGCCCGCAGAAGCCAGGGAGAGCCCGACCTCACGGTCTCGGCAAGGCCAGCACTCAAGACCAGCAGGACAGCACGAGCCCTCACACCAGCAGACAGGCTGGCTTCTTAAGCTAGCACCTATCAACTCCTCACGGCGGGTGGAGGTCTCGGAGTCCTGCCACTTGTGCCAGGAACTGTCCCGGCGCCTGTATCACGCTTCCAGTGCTGCCTTGGTGGCGCTGTTCTAGAAGCCACCTGTGGTACTTGGGAAGCTGAGGCCGGAGGATCCCAAGCTCGAATGCAGTCGGGCAAGGTAGCCTGGCTCTGTCTCAAGATAAAAAGTTTCACCCGGGGCTGGGATGTACTCGGCACACCCTGGCTTCAGTGCCCAGGACTGCACAGCAAGCACACAGCGGAGGAGGCAGACCAAATCCCGGTGAAATGCAACCCAGCAGAAGACCCGAGTGGACAGAGCAGGGACACACATAGAAGCCCCTCGTCCCCGCCCCAGTGCAGCCCCACTCACCAGCGGCGTGTCTCTGCCTCCCACGATGCTCAGCCCCAGCCCGGAGCGGCCCTTGGAGATTTCTATGACCATTTCCTGTCCAGGGATGATGGGGCACGAGGCAGGGTCCACAGATAGCGGAAGCTGGGGGCCACCTGGGAGTGAAGGGGTGCAGGTGACGTCAGGCAGGACTGGCTGGGCTCTCAGTGTCCCAAGGGCCTGAGGCACCAGGCCCTGAGTTGGAGCCCCATGCTGCAAAAGCAGAGGGAGAGTGAAGAGGATCCTCTCCTGAGAGCCGCGAGGGGCCACTGTCCAGTCAACATGCAGAGCGCTGGGCTGTGCACAGGGCAGAGAGGAGGCGCAAACACGTGTTGGGTTTGAGCTGAGGTCTGCTCCCCAAGGCACCTCCTTATGTTTCTGCAAATACCTTAGCACCCGAAACAGCCCAAACTGGAATTACTTCTGCTCCTAGGGCTTGGGGTGGGGACACCCCACAGGTGCTCAACAACACAGGGAAACGCAGGGCTTCTACGTGTGAAAATCTTGTTTGAAGAGGAATGGCTTCCTATCAAGGTTTGCTTATGAAAACTCATTGTTTGAGGCTGGATTTTTGTAAAAATTGAAAGAAACTCTGTTTCTGGGCTGAGGGAAGACTGTGTCCTCTCACATCTTCATCTTTTCCAGGTAACTGAACCTCACTTATTAAAAAAATCAAAACATTCAAAATGTTGAGCAGTTTCAAGACACGGACTGCAGACAATGGTGTCCCGAGGACAGCATCCTTCCCAACAACTCAGTCTCCTGACAGTTGGGAGGACTCATTACCAGCCTTGTTACCTAATCCAGTATAGGCTGATGACAGCGCTGTCCTTGGTCACCTGCAGCTGAGGCTAGAAGCCACCCAGACAGCCATGCATGCCGCTGGCTGTCAGCAGAGCTCCTGGTACACCCTTTGGCCAAGAATGGTGTTTGTATGTTCAAAAGGTAGAAAATCAGAAGAAAAATAGTACATCAAGATTTAACAATTCTATGAACCCCAGAATTCAGGGTCCACAAAGGAGAGCTGCACTGTAACACAGCCCACAGGTTCACTCTCTGGAGGGTCCTGTCCCCATGCTGTGCGTGGCGTCAGTAGCTGCAACAGAGATTGCGCTGGGCTCGTGGCCAGCGAGCCTACCCTGGGGCTGTCGGGGAGACGCCTGCCCATCCTAGACTGAGCTGGCTTGATGGCCTGCTCTAGGGCAACACGAAAGGGCCCAGGGTTTGCGGGGCAGGAGCCGGATTTGGCTCTTACCCCAGGAATTCACTTGGAGTGTCTGCTTAAACTTGAAACACTTAGTGCAGTGAGACACACTGCCGCGGATGCCTGCACAGCACCCTCTTCCTCTGCACGCACACGTTCCACCATCCCCGCGGCTTCCTGCCACAGCGCTGGAGCGAGCGCTCTCTCCTCAGGTCTTTATGAGGTGTGGTGGAAAACACTGACTGAGGCAGCTCGCACACGCAGGGCCTGGGTCCCCACCCACCTAGTCACCCGATCCGGCACCACGTGACTTCCGGCTTCTCCCCAAAGATAGAAGGACCATGAACAGCGGACATTTTGACCGGATTCGGGACACGGAGATGCCAGGCCTGTGCTCACCTGTCTAGTGCAGCCATTACTTTGGTAGCCTCCTGGAGAAGGTGAGACTTTAGAGCCCCGGCCTCAGTACCAACACAAAGTGCCATCGCAGAATTAGACTACCACATTGTCTGCCTGATTTGTTTCTCTCTTTTTCCTTTTTTTTTCTTCGAGACAGTGTATTGCTGCGGGGTTCAGGCTGGCCTTGAGCTCACTGCAGCCCTCCTGTCTTAGCCTCCCAAGTGCTGGGATGACAGATGTGTACCACTACCTACAGCTCTTGTTTCTGTATCTTTGTTTGTTTTGTTTTTTGAGACAGGGTCTTGCTATGCAGTGTAGGCTGGCCTTGAGCCCAGGCTAATCTTGAACCTGCAACCTGCCTCAGCCTCCTGAGTGCTGGGATTGCAGGTGTGCACCATCACGCCGGCTTCCACACTGTTTCCTGTGCATTTACCATAAAAACAACGCACAGTGGGGCACGAGCTCAGGGAGCTCTGGGAGGCTGTGTGGCCGTAAGTGGCAGTGCCATGCTGAGGGGCGGAGGCAGCCAGCGCAGCGGGGCGCCGCACAGGGCTGCTCTCCCTCCTCCACAGTGCCACCGCCCATCCTCTGTGCGCACTTCCTGCACAGAACTCACTCGGAAGCCCAGCTCAGACCGAGCGTCCACACGTGCGCGGTGAGAGGGTGAGTGCAGGACTCGGATTTCCAGCCTCGGCCGAGGGAGCGTGACTTCCTGTTTTCTGGGTGCAGAATGGGACCTACACCCCCAAACTCAGCCAGGCCTCGTCCGGGGCCAGCACACCTTCCTGGTGGAGGTGGGCGCGCAGGGCAGCGCAGGCCACGCAGTCTCTGTTGCAGCTACTGAATGGAGCCTCCGGAGTGCGCAGGCAGCCACGGACCACGCGCAGACGCACGATGTCTCAATAAAACTTTATTTGTGTACACTGAGATTTCAACTCGGTATCGTTTGTTTGAAACATACTCTTGATTTTTTTCAGCCTTTAAAAATGTACAAGCTATTTGAAGTTCAAATGGTGGCTGTCCGTTGGTCCACGGGCTGTAGCTCGCTGACCACATCCATCAAGTATTTCACTATAAATCTAAGACTTTAAAGTCATATCTACTTTCTAAATTTTTTAAAAAGAATATTTTTAAATTTAAATTTTTAAAATTTAAAATTTTATGAAAAATATATGAAAGAAAAATGCCACAGAGCTGTCAGGCCTGCGGAATTAATGCAGTTATGCTCGGCCACAGGTGAGAAGGCGCTTTAGAGAATGCATCTCTCATGATTAACATTGCATAAAAGCAAGCCGGAAGTGCACACCAATCACTGCGAGCTTCTGCTCTGAGTCCTGTCAGCATATTCCAGCCAGGAATATGAAGGCAGAACCTGAACGCCAGTTTCTTTCCGGTCTGAAAGGAAGCCCCCAGTAGCTCCGTCCGCAAGGCAAGCCAAGCGCTGCGCTCAGCTTGATCTGTACGGCGTGAAGCGACTCCGTCAGCCTCGGGTTCTCGCACCGCTGGCCACGCCTCTTCTGTCCCAGGGCGTTTTTATGCAGCCGCAGCGACACCGCCACAGCCCGTGCAGTGACCTGGCCCAGGCTAAGGAAGAGGGCGGGTGGGGGCCAGGTCCTGCTGCCCTCGCTGGACGTGTCGAGCTGGCTCTGCCAGGGAAGGGATCGTACCGTAGCAGGCGACGGAGGCCTCTGCCAGAGCTGGCACTGACGGCTCCTCCCGTGAAACGGGCCAGGCTTCGAGAGCACTGTGCTGCTTGTCCCCCTCACTGGCGTCCTGCAAAGGAAGGCCAAATTGTGACATCAAGGTAGAGAGCGGCACCGGTGACTGAGGCGGCTGAATTCTCGCAGGGCAATTGCGAGCTCTAGCAGCGTCTTGGGGGCTGTGAGGGGGGCGAGGAGAGGGCGTTTCTGCCCCGTGTGCCAGGGAACTGAACATCCGGAATCCCCTGCACAGCACTGTCACCGCAAGGAAGAAGGACCATGCTGAGGACCTCGCTGCGGGCCGTGTGGGCGGCGAGCCTCTGCAGTCTCCTCACTGCCTGCCCACGCGCTGTGCCCGGGCAGAAGCCACCCTCACTGCAGCTCGGGGCCCCAGGCACCTCCGCAGACACTGCAGGGTTGCAGAGCACTGAAGCAACCAACAGGGCCACCCAGGGGCAGGAGAGGAGGACCCCGTGGAGCCCCCGGGGTCCTGGGGTGTCGACTTCACTCACTCCCCAGTCACCTCTCATAGGCTGTGCTGGGAAGTAGCAGGGACTCAGTGTGTTTGGTGACCACATGCATAGGCTCAGCCGTGAATGAGGGGGACACTCGGGGCAGGAGGCGAGCTTGCAGCTCCACGAGGGGCAGGGGCTTTAAGTCTGAGCTTTGGAAGTGAACTTGTGACTCTGGTGAGTCCTTCAGGGTGTCAGCATCCGCCAAAAGATGCTAAGGAAAACTGAAAGGATGCCACCTGCCTCGAGCAGCCAGGGAACACAGGCAGCCTCTGGCCGGCTTCTGGATCCCTGCTGGTGGATCTGAGGAGGCTGGGACGCAGCGGGTGGCTTGGGGGCCTAGGGACAGGGCCGCGGCCACACCCGGAGCCATGACATCAGCTCTGTGCCTGCACATGGCTCTACACAGAAAGTCCTAGTTTCCAAAACACTTCACAGCCAGGAGCTCGTTCAATAGCAAGAACCCCAGGTTAGACAGTACTGTGCTGTCCTGCAGGTAGGATCAGGGACAGATGTCGGGGCGGCTCTGAAATCACACAGCTTATTAGACCAAGAAGCAGGACTGAGTTGGCGGTGGGAGGGGCTGGGGGTTGGAAGCGTTGCCGAACGCTTGCCAAGCGTGGCCCAAGGGTGCACATTCTTTTTCCTATCCCCTGGATTTGACCATTACTCAGAAAGATTCACTCAATCACATGTTCAGTGTCGGGCCGGGGAGATGGCTCAATGGAATAAGCGCTTCCCTGGCAAGCGCAAGGGCCCGAGTTCAATCCCTGGTTCCGCCAAAAAAACAAAAACATGTTCAGTGTTGACTCTGAAACTGGAAAGCAGATAACACAGAAGCATCAGTGTGAGAGCTGAGTGCCGGCGTGACCGAGGCGGCTGCTCCCGGGACCACAACTACAACGTCCAGGCCACGCTCTTGGCAACAGACAGGTCACTGTAGGAGGAGAGACGTGGCCGGACACACTCAGCTGTCACAGAGGAAGCCTCGGCCTGCCTGCCACCAGATGTGGTGGGAATAAGTGGGGTAACCACCTTAGGCCCCCATAAATGGACATCTGGATCTGAGGATATAACCAGAGCGGGACTCACGTAGCAGCTGCTGGGTGTCACCTGGCTTGGTCACTTGGGGGCTAGATAAGGTGGAAACCTTTGCAGCACCAGCGCCTCGCCTACCTCCCCTGCACCCACATCCCTTTCCTTCTGCGTCATCCCAAGGAGGAACCGGGGTACCCCAGAGCTCATCCTCGTTGAATGCAAGCCCTGCTCACAACAAATCCTGCGCACCTCTCGGTGTGAGCAGGAAGGCAGTGTTCCCATGAGGCGTCTGTGACGGTGGCGACCCCTGTTGGCCGTCTTTAGCACCTGGAGCTTGCAGGTGACCAGAGGAGCTGACCACGATAAGGAAGCAGCAGGTTACACCTACCCGAGCTTTTCTAGGGAAAGGCTCTGGACGTCATCAGGTCCTCATGATAGGAGATAACTACCAGGACACGAAGCTACAGACCACTAGCCTGCTGCTGACTGGCTGTGCGACTGCACAAGGCTCTCAGCCTCCTGTGGGCAACTCGTGGTCACACACCTGTCCCTTGCACGGTCACTGTGATGGTGAGAGGTCCCCTCGGCCTCCGTCAGGGACAACTTAGAAGCTCAATTAATAACTGCTGTTAGCATTTCGTCCTTTCACAGACTAGGCATGAGTGGCCGGCCAGCTTCCGGCTCGAAACCTCCAGGGATGGAAACTCCATTTCCACAAGGAAGTCAGCCCTGCACAGCGAGCGGCCTGGCCCTGAGGAGGTCTCCGCAAAGTGCTTGCGCAGCCTCGCCGTGGCTGCCCGCTGACGGAGCAGTGCCGTCCACGGCCACAGGGGAGCTCACGGTGACCTTCCCAAGGAGAAGGCTCCGGACCTCCTTCTGTGTGGTTTCGGTGGGGGAAGGAGTGTGGTGATGGGCGGCAGGGCTCATGCCAGCGGTACCTGATGAGCACAGCAGAGGGCGGAGCACGGAGGCTGTGTGTGCACACGGCACTGGCCCCCTTCAGAGCTCAGACGCTGCTTTCGGGTCTCGTGGGCTGCACGCTGCCAGTGTGTGTGCGCATGTGGCCATCAGAGGTCTGCACTGGTGACCCTGGCCACCGTCTCTTCCGTTACAGTCTCCTTACATCTCACTTCTGCTGGATGCCAAATACGCTTTTGGCGCGCAGACCCGGAGACTAACTCCCGCCCCAAGGCATTTGGTTAGAGGCCAGAAGCACATCTGCTAAAGAGGAGGCTGAGCGAGATGGTGCCCCACGCAGGAGCCCCGCGGGAGAGCAACGTAGACGGGGCCACTTGCAGTTGAAGTGAGCAGTGCTGACGGGTGGGCCGCACGAATGTGTGGCCTCTACAACAGGCACCTGAGTGCGGCTGGCGGTCACCAGGGGACTCCTGTGATGAGCTTGGGTGAGGAGGGACATGTGGAGAGCGGGGCGTGGCAGGGCAGGGCAGGGCGACCTCACTCGGGTCCAGGGAAAGTGTCTGACAGCACTGGGGGACACAGGTCGCCCCGAGGGTGCTGAGGAGCCGCTGTGGAATGGGAGACAGTGTGCGACCACAGCAGTGGGACAGCGTGGTGTGGGGGCTTGTGATCCAGCACTCGGGAGATGGGCGCCCTGTGGGCCGGGTGGGCAACCTGACCTCTTCCAACCTCAGTGCCCTCACTTACAAAACGCAGAGGAAAATCATGAGGTGTGGTGATGCGCGCCTGTCCTCCCAGCTCTCAGGAGGCTGAGGCAGGAGGATCGCTGTGAGTGCCAGGCCAGGCTGGACTACAGAGCAAGACCCTGCCTCAAACAAACAAACAAAAATAATTTTAAAAAATGTATTTAGGGGGCTGGAGAGATGGCTCAGTGGTCTAAAGCACCTACTTGAAACAAGCTTGGCAAAGCACAGGGACCGCGGTTCAATCCCCAGCACCACATGCCAGCCAGCCCCGCCCCCTGGTGGGCTGAGCTGGCCACACACAAAATAAATAAATAAATGTTAAAAAAAATTATATTAAAAAAAAAGCAAGTAGGGGCCGGCCAAATAGCTCAGCGGATTAAAGTGCCTGCTTAGGCAAATGCAGGGGCCAGGGTTTCAATCCCGGGGCCTGCTGAGCCGGCCCCATCCCCAGGGTGCACTGAGATGCCAATTGAGACTGGGCTTAGTGGTGTGCGCCTGTAATCCCAGCACTTGGGAGGCTGTAAACAGGAGGATCACTACGAGTCCGATCTACACAGTAACACCCTGTACACCTTATCCTAAATACAAAAAAAGAAAGAAAGAAGCAAGCAAGTACTTAAAGTAGACACACCTCTGAGTACTTGAGGTAGGTCAAGTGTACAGGGTTTATTCAGGGTTTTCCCTGGTCTTGAAGTCTGAGCTTTGCTGATATTAAAAAAAAAAAAAAAAGCAATTCAACAACCACAAAAAAGAAGTGAAGATAAGGAGATTGATTATGGTATAAGTAAAGCTGGCCATAAATTAATAATTATAGAACCAGGGTAAGGAAGCTCAGAGTGTTCGTTATAAAATTCCATTTATATGTGCCTGCAATTTTCAATAAAAAGTTGTGGGGTTTTTTCAAAGTATAAGACTAAGGTGATTCAATTAGAAATCAAGTCTTGGTTATCAATCTGGTGCTGGATCTTCCTCTGCTGACCCGGTTTCTTAAGAAAACTTTCCATGCACACCCATAAAATAGGATCACCCCTAAATTAAACCGGTAACCCCTTCAATTGTAACATGATTCTTTACTTTGACTTGGAGTGTCTAAAAAGACTAAAATTGGGCTTAATTTTTACATTTCTGCTGATAAAACGAAGTCCCATAAATGTGTAGTAGTAGTTCTTCAATTCATTCTGATCCCATCTGCAATTCAACCATCCTTGTGCTTGGAGCGGTTTCTCTTCATTCCTAATATTGAATGACTTTTCTCAAGGGAAGAAAAAGATATCTTTACATTTTAACCAGAATTTATTAGTAGGAATAATTATTTGAGCTCAGTTCTATTCTCTTGGGAGATTTTTTAAATATTTGGGGGGAGAGGGTACAGAAAGCACCTGCCTGGCAAGCACAAGGTACCAAGTTCGATCCCCAGTACTACAAAATAATAATATAATTCTTATTAATATAATAATTTTTAAAAAATTTCTCCCAAACCGGTAAAGAATTTGAAGTTTGTAGCGCCACCTGCTGGGAACCTCTCGAATTCTGATTGGGTTAGATTCCCCGCAGCTGGAGTTTAGATAACATTTTACGCATGTTTTCAGGCTATTTGAGGCTTAAGAGACAAATGCCTTTCTCATACTTGCCTGATCAGAGTCACCTGAGAATTGCTTACAATTCTTTTTCCCCGAGCACATGCCAGGGTTACTAAATCAAGATCTCCAAGAAAGGAGCCTGAGACTTTTGATTTGTGATATGAGTGTGAGCTAAGTATTTGATAACGGTAAAGAATTGAGAGCTGGGGAGATACCTCGGCAGCCTAAGCACCTGCCTGGCAAGTGCAAAGACCCACGTTCGATCCCCGGTACCACATG